TAGTTTACTGAATTTGTATAATGCAAAACTAGTGGTCCCTAGCAACCACTTAGATACAACACATAAAATTTGATATGACCCAAAAAACACTGAAAAACAATTGTGCGCAATGTGTTCCCTCACATCAAACTGAAAGACTGACACAGGCATTAATGTTTCAAAGAGAGCTCAAAAGATGGCAAGTTGGATTTCTTCACGCAATTAAAAGATTTCAAGAAGCTGGCCACACATGACAGGAGGCAGTAACTCATATTTGTTTAAGCTGAGTGCTGCTACATTAGTGGTGACAGGGTTATCAAGCATAGATGGACATGTGTATTTTTGTTAAGTGACAATTTAGCAACAGAGCCCCCCCCCCAATGATAGTTTAACCTTTTCACCACCAGTTCTATCTTTTCATCACAAAAAAAAACATGTAAATTTTTTGAGTGAAAACTGAAAATTTTTTGGTTGGCTCCAAAATCAGGGTTCATTTCAAGAAATATTGAAGAAAACAAGAAAAAAGTGCAGAAACATTTGGACAATAAAGTCTGGTAGAGAAAAGATTAAGTAAAGAATCATATCACAAGAATGAATAATGCGTAAATAGTTATGCAAAGACTACTAACTGAATAAATAGTTATGCAAAGACTACTAACTGAATAAATAGTTATGCAAAGACTACTAACTGAATAAATAGTTATGCAAAGACTACTAACTGAATAAATAGTTATGCAAAGACTACTAACTGAATAAATAGTTATGCAAAGACTACTAACTGAATAAATAGTTATGCAAAGACTACTAACTGAATAAATAGTTATGCAAAGACTACTAACTGAATAAATAGTTATGCAAAGACTACTAACTGAATAAATAGTTATGCAAAGACTACTAACTGAATAAATAGTTATGCAAAGACTACTAACTGGATAAATAGTTATGCAAAGACTACTAACTGGATAAATAGTTATGCAAAGACTACTAACTGGATAAATAGTTATGCAAAGACTACTAACTGGATAAATAGTTATGCAAAGACTACTAACTGAATAAATAGTTATGCAAAGACTACTAACTGAATAAATAGTTATGCAAAGACTACTAACTGAATAAATAGTTATGCAAAGACTACTAACTGAATAAATAGTTATGCAAAGACTACTAACTGAATAAATAG